TACGAGCCATGACTTTGGATATTAAGGATGTCTGAAGGAGTGGTAGTCTTGCAAATGGATCCAAACAAACGAATACCTTTTCCATAGCCAAAAGTGTACGTTATTTCCACAAACCGTAGCGCCGGTAGTATTGTATCGATTTTGGAGATGAATTGTCGATTCAGTTGAGATAACTCGAGTCTTAAATGAGATATACTTCGTGGCCATCGACTCATAGATTCAATTGAATCCCAATCACTGAACTTCAAAAGTGACTGAAGTTAACGGGAATATTGGAATTACATCCAAAAGAGACATAGTTTTAGACGTTGTAATCGCTGGTAGTGTTGTATTGAATCCATTATCTTATCAGTAGTTGACGGACGGTCTGCCCTCAGTCTGAGTGACAACTTCTTGATCGACACACACTTTACACCGATTTGTTTGAATGAGTCGTTCAGTAAAGTCAGAAGATTTTCATCGAAATCAAAGACACCGAAAGCGAGACTCAATTTAAATAATTGTGGAAATCGTGTCAATCGTGTCATGAATTGAATGCAAAGTCTTTAGATTCCGGTTTCGCATCAATATATCCCACACGAAGTCGTTTGAGTGACTGATTTGCGGCAATAAAAGTGTCAAACAAACAGATCCAGTGTTGTATTGAATGCCCAAAACATACTGAAAAGTGAAATGTGTGTCAATTCTTGACCAGTAATTGGTTCTCAGAGTCAAAGACATTAGGAAAGTCCACATTATAGAGATGCCTAACATTGTGGTGATAAGGGACATTATAGAAGTATAATTATAAATTAGTAACGATTAACTAAATGCCTTTTGGTTTTATATTACCGCAAACATTAAATGAAAGTTTAAATATAAATGTTACGCTTATAATTATAATTATAGCAATATTTTTGATTTAAATATGTAATTAATTTTTGTTGTGCCATAAATAATGATCTACATCTAGTATCATTTGTTCAGTGTAACTTTTAAAAACACTTTTAAAAACTTTTTCACTTGAATTCTGTATTTAAAAGTGTTTTTCTATAATTAGTGGTATAATGAAACATAATCCAGTTTGTGCATAACCTGCAAACATGAACAGATTGAAATTAAAACACTTTTCACTTATCATAAGCCTATTGTTTAGTCCATGTTTTACACAATTGTTTGAACGAATACCAGACATATATCGGAGTACTGTATGAAATATCAATTCAATGCTTCTATTAGTAGTTATTTGTGTAAAATTATCTCTAATTATAGCCGCAATTGATTAGCAGTAGAGGTTTCGACTGCGAGAATCATACGGTAACCACAGATGATGGATATATTCTGGGAATATTCCGGATCGTCAACAACAAGTGGAAGGGAGACACTAAACCTATACTCTTGTGGCACGGATTGGGCGCCAGTTCTGACTTATGGCTCGTTTTAAATGACGGACAGTTGTCTCGGGACGGCATTTATAGCGAGCAAAACGGATCAGTTGTGAACAATTGTCACAAAGAATTGACATCTAATATAGCGTTTACATTGTCTGCCTGTGGTTATGATGTCTGGTTAGGCAATAGTAGAGGCACTCGTTACTCAAATACACATATTGATCCTGGTGAGTTAATTTCGTAGTTGATGTGAATGAATAATTAACTTTATATTTGAATGCAAGATATGGACAACTTCTGGAACTACACGTTAACAGAACTGGGTGTTTACGATGTTAAGAATACCATTGAATATATACTCAAACAGACAAATAAAGGTATTATTATTATGTGTTTAGTAATTGTTGGATGAGTGAACTCATTTAACAAAACCATATTTCTAGTTAATAGTTGTTGACTAAATTATTAATTGTATTGATCATAATTAAGCCTCACTTCCATATATTGGTCACTCTATGGGCTCTACAATTATGTTTGTCTTACTTTCATTGGAACCAGATTTCCAAAGATATATCAAACCATTCCTAGCATTTGCACCGATAGTGTTCATGGGTAACACCGGATCCATAATCCGATTGTTAACTCCATTGGTCTCACTATTAAGGTAAAATTGTAGAAATTATATCAATTATACTATTATTTAAACACGAATTGAAATCTAAGTTTTCTAGTCATACCTCTGGGTCTACCCCAAGAATTGGCGCAATTCATCGCACAGTTTATTTGTGCCAATGCTGTCACTCAACCCATTTGTGCCGCACTTATGTATTCGTACGAAGGCTTCAATCCATTTCTCCAGTGGCCGGTTAGTTGTTTGGACCTTATCTAATTTAGTACAGTAGTTTAGTTAAGTTTAATATGTGTATATTACAAGTACAGTACATAGGTGCTTATTTTGCAGAATTCAATACCAGTGACAATAGCAAAATCGTTAGAATTGAGTTCATCCAAAATATTCCTACAATACGGACAGTTTATTCTGGACGACAGGTTTCATAAGTTTGATTACGGACCCATTCAGAACATACAAGTATATGGACAGCCTATGGCACCCGACTATCCACTCGATAAAATCGCTTCAAATTATATTGGACTCTATAAGGGGAGCAACGATTTATTATCCGATTTAACGGATGTTAATAAATTAGTTTCCAGACTAAAAGGTACAGTATTTCCAATTTCAGAGTACTGTACAATTCATAGCAGTTTAGTTTTTAATATAATTTTAATTTATTAAAAATTTTAATTAACAGTTCCTTTAGTGGACAACTATTTGGTTCCCTATCCACTCTGGAATCATGGTGACCCTGTTACTTCTATGTTTGACAACTTTTTTCTTAATGGACAGGTATTTCAAATATTAAACCGATTTGTTTCTAGTGCTAAACTTAGTGCTATATTTAAATAAAATCATTTTTAATTTATTATTTATACTGTAATTATATTTAGTCTAGAAATAATTAGTATTACAATTATATAGAAATAATTAAAGTTAGTAGTGTATTAAGAAATATCACAATACTTTTTTTATGAAAGGTTTATATAAAATAACTTATATTTCATAACGGTTAAATAAAATTAATTTTCCAAAATATAAACTTATTTTTAATAAAACATATTTCATAAGAATACAGTGTACTGTATACAAATAAAACATATTTATTAAATCCCATATTTTTGCAATAATTCTTTTATTATTATTATATCTATTTATATTATCAATAAATAGTTATGACTTTTTATATGAGTTCAAAATGTTATCATTAACGAAAATATTATTTTTATTTCATTTATTATTATTTTCTAATCAATACACAACTGAAGCGATCGTTAAAATAATACCCGATATTTATCGCAATACTGTAAGAATTTCACACAAATTCTTGAATTAACATACATTTCTATATTATTATTATATCTATTTAAAGCCACAATTAATTGAAAGCAGAGGTTTTAAGTGTGAAAAACATTTAGTAACCACTGATGACGGCTATAATATCGGAGTATTTCGCATAATTAACCCTAAATGGAGGGGCGATACGAAACCAATACTACTGTGGCATATGTTGTCTTTCAGTTCAGACGTGTGGCTCTTCTCAAGTCCGGGACAGTTGTCTCCCGAAGGCATTTATAGCGAACAAAACGGATCTCTTGTTAACAATTGTGGCACTCGTTTGACATCAAATATAGCGTTCACATTGTCTTCTTGTGGTTATGATGTCTGGTTAGGCAATACTCGCGGCAATCAATACTCAAACACTCATCAAAATCCCTGTAAATAAATAGATAAGTTTGAAGTTATTTGAAATGAATTTTGTATACATTTGAAAGCTTTCAATAATCTGTGGAACTATACGTTCACTGAAGTCGGTATTTATGATGTAAGAAACACCATTGAATACATACTGAGAGTCACTAATAAAAGTAAGTTTTAAATAAAATATATTTAATTTATTATAAAGTTTTATACATTTGTTTCATAAAGTTTTCAAACATGAATTTTCCACTTTAAGACTCGATTGCATATATCGGGCATTCAATGGGAACTACGGCTATGTTTGTCTTACTCTCATTAATACCAAAATTCCAACGACATGTTAAACCGTTCATAGTATTTGCACCGGTAGCATTTTTAAGTAATACCAAATCCATTGTACGCTTATTCACACCATTGGTATCAATATTCCTGTAATCATATTGATGAGTATTATTTTTAAACTAGTTTATTTTCGATTATTACCTAAAATTATTTTAGTAGATTTATAAATATGCTTTTTATAATATTGGCAGCAATTTAGTGGTACCGTTAGGTTTACCCTTAAAAGTCATGCAATACATCGCACAGTACTTGTGTACACAACCATTGATTGGACCCATTTGTGCCACTATTGTCTACCAGTTTGTTGGCAAACATCTATACCCCGATGATCCTGTAATCGATACATTCATATCAAATGAATTTATGAAAAATATTTACAATTCTTATATAAAATATAATGTCTAATATTATTGCCCCAAATTGTATATTTGACTTTAGGATGCAATACCAGTATTAGTGTCCAAAGCTTTACAAAATACATCGTCAAAGATATTCCTACAATACGGACAATTCATTATCGACGGACGCTTTCATCGCTTTGATTACGGGGCCGA